TCTTCATGTTATCAGCTTGAGTCTTCATACTTGTAAATAACATAGCAATGTACGAAAACTTCATAATGAAATATGAACTTGATTAAAAACTCTTGATCTTTAAGGTCAAGCTTGCAAAATTCTGCATAATTTTTTTTTTTTTTTAAAGTGATGGTTGCATTTGTTTTACAAATATATTGTATTTGAAATTATAAAGGCACACTTCATTCTTTACACCCTGAGTTGTGATATATGACCGTTTTATGTTGATTTGATGTAAAATCAAAGTAGTTCACCTATACATCTGTTCATACATTGTTTACAGATTGAGCGTATTCAGAACAATACATTGTGGGCACAGTATGCGGCAAAGAAAAAACAACTTGAGGATCAGAATCCAGCAAATACAACAAATGAGAGATTATTATGGCATGGAACAGCTGTTGAAGCTGTTGATAATATCAATGCCCATGGATTTAACAGGAGTTATTGTGGCAAAAATGGTGTGTATCTTACCAATGTTACTATCATTTTACATCTGTGTCTTATTCCCTTTTTGTAAAATAATGATATTAACTAATGTGCCAGTCAGACAGAATCTCAATTTTGTATGTTTCAGATGTGAAGAAACAAAATTCAAATGGTAATGAAGCATTTGGCATGAGTTGTTTGTCATATAAATGATGACAATGTATCAAACATTTTCATGATGATATATTATAATTTGCTGCTTTTATATATGAAAACAGTTATTATATTAATACATCCTCTTTCCTTTTTCAGCAACATACTATGGGGATGGAGTTTATTTTGCAGTAAATGCCAACTATTCGTGCAGTAATACTTATTCCCGGCCTGATCCAAGTGGTGTAAAGAGAGTGTATTATTGCCGTGTACTTACTGGAGAATATACCCAGGGTACCAAAGGAATGCGTGTAGCACCTACAAAGGGTGGTACTGGTAGCACTGCTATATACGACTCTGTTGTGGAGAATAAAGCTTCCCCGGGGATGTTTGTTATATTCCATGACACACAAGCCTATCCAGAATATCTGATATATTTTAAGTAACAATTAATGTCTGTTATATATGACACTACAAGTAGAGTGATTTTTTCAACTGAAAGAAACTGTGTCATTCAGCATTTAGTGCAAGTTCCTCTATTAATAGACATTGGTATACTGTGATATGTGAAAAACTAGTGTAATGCCTTGATTAAAAAAAGAAAACGATTTACAATTAAATGAGACATTTTAATGTAAATTCCTTTATACATGTATATATATAGGAATAGATAGACTGTTCAGTTAAATATTCTAATGTGTGTGTGTTTTGTTTTCATCAATATGAACTAAAATTCTGTTATATTGTACATTTAATAGCTTAATTTCCGATCTCCATAAAAGAAGTTTCCGTAAAATATTTCCTATAAATTTTGCCTGGGAGCCTTACATTTTCATAAAGGGAGTGGGGGGGGGGGGGGTAGGGTGAGGACGTTTAGTACTTTTGGTTTTAATAAAAATAGCACCATTTTTCTCATGAAATAAAGCTGTAAATTACATTATTTTATTTTTGTGAAAAAGAAAGTTTAACTTATCAAATCTATAGATAATTTGCTGCAATAGTCCTTCAAATGATAACATAGTACTCATCATAAAACAGCACCAAAGACTTTAAATAAAAATTAAATTGAGATAAACAGACTCAGTAACTCTTTACCCTAAAATATCCTTATTAAAATCTTTTATTTCTTTGTATTTACTAGTAAAAGAGCAAAATAATCACTAATTAATTGCTTCTTTTCTAAATAATCATATTTCAAGTGATATTGTTAGCACTATAAAACGTTGTTATTTACTTTGGTATAAATTGAATAGAGGTGTGAAGGTGTGAAAGGCAACAAAAGACTGTTGTGTTTTAAATGAAAGATGATTGCATTGTACTACATATGACTGGTTACTAAACAATAAGATATGACATTAATATATGTTTAAATAATTGTTTGTTAAAACTATAAAGTTGTAAAAATGTTATGTTAACTTTGAAATAAATTATGATTTTATTTCTTTGCTGAATAATATTTGCAATTATTTGTTTGACACTGTGTATTTATTCAAACTTTGATGAATATATAAAAGTAATGGTACTGAAACTTAATTACTTCACCATAAAAAGTACTGGTACTGCAGTACCAAGCTAAAATCTAATACTGGTAATGGTACTGCATAATTTACCAAGGACTGGTTCTCACTGGAACTTAAGTATTACACCCTTAGTACTGATGCAGCTCTGTAGATGATACATTTTTGTGTTTACTATAAGATAAAATAGATTCTGAAGGATTTGAATAAAATTATTAATCTACTCTTGATTTGAGCACTGGTAAGTAGATTTCTCACCAAAAAAACTGGGTGGTTGAGCCTTTATTAAGGGGGGGGGGGGGGGTTTAATAGGAATTTTATGGTATAAGTAATTTATTATATACTTGTAAACGAAATATTGAGAAATATTGATGAAATAAAATGTGTTTTTTTTATTTTCCGTATTTTCACTGTAAAAATTTATTTTTCATTGATATTTTCCGTATTTGTTGTTTAAAAAGTGACCACTTCTGTTTTGGGGGTTTGAAGGGGGGCGGAGTCCCCCTCATCGCCAAGAACATTTTGGACTTGTGAGAGGCTAAAAATGAACCCAGATCGATCATAAGGTAATGTGTAACCAACGCTGAAAAGCATTTGACTCATATAATCTCAGTCCATTGAGAAGTTGCAGCACTTTGAAGTCAATTCTGACGGAAAAAATCAACGCAAAAAAGTGATTTTTGGCAATTTTGAGATGTCCCCTCGTTGCCATGGTAACGCCTGAGCATGTTGTTGCAAAGGCAATGGTCCAGTCAACACTTGTGCCAAGTTTGATTAGTATTGAAGCAGTTTTTATAATTTTATAGCAATTTGAACTTGTAACGGGAGACTTTTCAATGAAAATAGCCATTTTTCACAAAATGCTCATGAAGTAATGGGTTAAAAAGGAAAAAAAAGTATATAATAAAGAGAAAATTCAGGTTTTTTTCTATAAATACAGATTTATTTTCATCTTGTGGTATGAAAACTATCATATTAAGCAATATATTACAATGTAGTTAATGAAAATAAATTGTAGCTAGTAATATAATTATGTCTGTTTCCGTTATCATTAAAAAATATATGGGTTAAAATGCTTTCATTAACTTTAGGTTCTTGTATGTATGGAAGGTATCACACTAGATTATGGGATTTTTATGCTTTTATATGGTTGTTCTCTGGTGCCTGAAATTATGCATGGATGAGCACCAAGGGTATTCCTCCACCCTTGACCAGTTAAAAGGTGACATAATGTATTTTTTCCTTTTAAATTGACCATGTTCAGTTTAACTTTGAAATGAAATTACTGCATTTCTTTATTTTAACAAATACATGTATGTGATATTTCTAGATGAATGTTAGTGTATTTATTTGATCATTACCATATGAGTGGCGCGGAGGAAGGTAGTCTAGTACTGGTGTAACTCTCCAGGAACGATGGTTAGGAAACTACCCGCCTATATGACTGAAATACTGTTGGAAAAAGGCGTAAAATGAAACAAACAAACAAACAAACCATATGAGTGTTTGCAGGAATAGACTCTAGGCTACTAAATTAATCAGATCTTGAATTTCATATAGTTTATTAGCTTCTTACTGAGTATTATTGTTATTGATTACAATAAATTTGATTTATTCTTATTTTATGAAAATTTATACACATTGAGATGTTATAATTTTATTTAATTACATTGTTCTTGATAAATGAAGCCAATAATAATATTTAATTGTAGCTCTATCGGTGCTTACTGTAGAATTTCATATCACCGAGTGATTTTTTTAGAATATCCAGTATCTATGTTAAGCACTTCTTTCATGATTATGATCATTATAAGCCAAATGTAGCTGATAATAAAGTGATCTACAGTGCTCATTGTTCATAGATGTGATGTATATGCATAATCTTTTTAAATAAACTTTGTTGATTTAATGATTGAGTTTTTGTGTTTTGTAAAGCATGCCATATTTTGCTGATCTAATAACTATATTGCTTTTTGTGGTAATTATGTATGAAGTAAAACGTCATACAAATATCATGATTGTTGATTTTAAATCTATGTTAATTTTGAAGGCTCATTTTGCCTCCATATAGCTTGCCAGACAAGATGTTTCAGGGTGGATGATGGTACAAAATTGTATTAAAAAATCACGCGTCAGATTTTCTTAAATTTTAAGACAGAAACATCTTTCTGTATTCTTCTCTCGCCTTTCTGTATTTTTTTCTCACAGAGAAAAATGAATATAAGCATATTTTTTTCCCTTCTTGAACCAGTTCTTCACAATACTTGAACTGTACCCTTAAAATTATTCAAATAATTATGCTCAGCCACTTAACAGGGCACTTTATACTTCAAATTTACAACAAATATTGTAGTGAATATTTTGATGGATCTACAAATATTATTTTGTTTAACAAAAAGCACAAAGTCTTGTACATCTTAGCAATCAGATTTGTACAGTATAAAACAATAAAACGTATGGTTGAATTTATACCAAATTTAGCATAATTTATGTTCTGTCTCTGAATATCATCTAAACAAAATTGCTTACGAAATCTTGAAGGACAGTTGTAAATAGCTGTGATTATAAAGCAATGTACAAAAGTTTGACTTCCTCACATTAAATAATTACCATAAGTTACAAAGTGAAGATAGATGGTCTCGTGTATCAAATCGTAGGAAATCTGCACAGGTCTGAATTATTCAGACTTGTTCTGAGGCACAGTTTGAAAAAGTAAGTAAAAAATTGTAATATTACCTCTTCTTGTAAGGGATATCACATGTGTATTCGTTCCTTGGTTTAATATGAAAAGGGTTAGCCAAGAGATTTTTCAATATTACCAATCTAACCAACAGCTGACTGGAAAACATTCCTTATCTGTGATGATCTTTGATCTTACAGATTGAGCGTATTCAGAACAAGACATTGTGGGCACAGTACGAGGCAAAGAAAAAACAACTTGAGGATCAGAATCCACCTGGTACAACAAATGAGAGATTGTTATGGCATGGTACAGCAGCGGAAACAGTTGACAATATCAACGCTCATGGATTTAATAGGAGTTATTGTGGCAAAAATGGTATGCAAACCTATGCGCTCATGAAATAATTCCTTGCATCAGAACACCAAACAGTGATTTTATTTAGCAATACTCAATGTTTGGGTTATATAATTTCTTAATAAGTACCTTAATTAGTACATTAATACTAAGTTTCGTTACAATCAAACCAACTTTTTCCCTTTTTGAAAGATAAATTTTGATTCCTGAAATGATCTTGTTTGGGTCTCAGAATGTCAGAAAGGTGAAGGTTGTCAGATTATGAACCAATTTGTTTTTGTGTAGTGCCACCAATGCTGTTGTAATAAATTGGCTATAAGACTAATTGCAACACTGATATTCAATTCAATGTTTATTTGGCTTAAACAATCTAAAAAAAAAACATGAGTTGCCTTAACTGGTATTTGAACTCCAGACCTCTCGCTTCCTAAGCGAGCGTGTAAACCCCTCGACCACGGGGAAGTTAACGGCCTGAAGAAAACCTTATCATTCTAAATTAGGGTTTGTTACCCTATTAATTTAGATATATATTTTGTTCACGGTAAACCTGTTGTTTAACACTGATGAAAATAATCATGGAGCTGAATATAAGCATGTATATCTATTAAGAATAACACAATATTAGAAATCTTCGACCAATCGGGAACTATTTTTTCTTCACCGAGAAGGCTTGACTTTAATTAATGCGCCTGTCATTTGACAATCTTTACGCATGCTGTGAAATGCTAATAAAACTCTTGTTGAGCTGTAGTACAACTTCTTAAGAGAATCATTTTTTTGGTTTTAAACTCTATTTAGAAATAAAAAGGTTGAAAAATTAGTCCAAGACAAAGTAAATTGAAGAACATTTTGGATTTATAAAAAAAAATGTTACATACAAAGACTTGCCGCTTGTCCTTTATCCAATATAGAAATTGTATGGATATGAATAACATATATGCTATATAATAATTGCAGCCACTATGTATGGAGATGGTGTGTATTTTGCAGTCAATGCACAGTATTCATGCCGTAATACATATTCTCGTCCAGACCCTACAGGCATAAAGAGAATGTATTACTGCAGGGTATTAACAGGGGAGTGTACTCGAGGAAAACAGGGAATGCGTGTACCACCAAGTAAAGGTGGAACAGGAAGTACAGCTCTGTATGATTCTGTGGCTGATAATCCAGCAGCACCAGGGATGTATATAATCTTCCATGATACTCAAGCCTACCCGGAGTATCTTGTTTCTTTTCAATAACAGGACAATAAATATAAACAAACAGATCATTTCTTTCTTTGTTGACATAGTTTGCAATTGTATTATCCATCAAGAATGCATAAGATATGATTGAAATTCTGTTCGGCAAAAAATATCCTTCTATATAACTATTGTTGAAAGAAAACATTTTTTGTTTATTAGCTACTAGATAATTTTTAGGTTAAATTGCCATGGACATTAAATAATAAAGCCAGGGGAAAGACATCTGTCAGATTGAGAAAATTATTCTTATTGAATGCTTGTTTGAATGTATTTGTATTTAACTAGCTTTTTGTGTTCTGAATTTTTGCTTAAAGATTAATTAAGTACAATGTAAATTTAAGATCTTGCACTTTGTGCGTTTAAATATATATTAATAGTTATTGTAAATCATAAATATGTATCCTTTGTGTGACACAATCAGATAAATAACATGTACAATTATTGTAAACCAATGTTTTTATTATGCCCCCGGGCATATAGTAATTGTACCGTCCGTCTGTCTGTCTGTCCGTACGAGATTAACCTAGAACGGCAAGTTGGATTTTTCTTAAGCTCTACCTGTACCAATGGCTTCTAAGTTTAAACACTTACTAATCAATACAAAGTACATGATCTGGGCAAGTTACATAACTCTGGCTTTCATATTTACCAAGTTATTGCCCTTTTCAGCACTTAGAAAATGAATAATGGTTAACCTAAAATGGCATATCTAAAAAGTTCTATCTATACTAATGGCTTTATAATTTCCACACTTACTTATCAATACAAAGTACATGATATTGCCAAGTTATATAACTGTGTCATCCATATTCCCTTTTTTCACTTTGAAAATAGGGCCTTGTCTGGTTAACCTATTTTGGCAAGTTGGATTTATCTTAAATTTCTCCTAATTGCTTAATTTCTTTAATGATATCTTTCATATTTAGTAGGTGGATAGCTTTGATGGTTCTCTAATTTTTTGTGGAGTAAGCGGTCTCTAGGGTCAAGGTCACTGGTTTAAAAATAAATATAATATTGCTTATACAGCCTTTATTTTTAGTTGATGTCTTAGTTTAATACAAACATGCCAAGGGAGGTCCTCCTTCTTTGGGTGTAGTAAGGGGTCATTTGGGTCATGGTCAATGTTACCAATGTCAAGGACACCAATGTTAAAATAGATTTTTACAGGTGTATTGACCTTATTCTATAGACAGATGTTATTTATAATTGATAGAAACATAAACTTTGATGGAGTTATTGGTCAGTTGGGTCAAGGTCACCAGTGCTAAAAATAGATTTTTACACATTTTCTCATACAGCCTTTATTAAGTGACAGATGTATTTTACATTTAGTAGGAAGATAACTTGCATGGTATTCATCCTTTTGATTGGGGTAGGGATCAGTGGGTCAATGTCACTTGTGCTAAAAATAGATTTTTACACCTTTGCCCATACAGCTTTTATTTATTGACAGCTGTATTTCATATTTGGTAGGAAGATAACTTGCATGGTATTCTTACTTTGGATGGAGTAAGGGGTTAGTTGGGTCAAGGTCACCAGTGCTCAAAATAGATTTTTACACTTTTGCCCATACAGCCTTTATTTATTGACAGATGTATTTCATATTTGGTAGGAAGATAACTTACATGGTTTTCTTCTTTTGGATAGAGTTAGGGGTCAGTTTGGTCAAGGTCACCAGTGCTCAAAATAGATTTTTACACTTTTGCCCATACAGCCTTTATTTAATGACAGATGTATTTCATATTTGGTAGGAAGATAACTTGCATGAAGTTGAATATTTTTCAACTTCACAAGTCAGAGCAATGACTTGGCAACTTACATTTTTCACAATTACAAAATGCCATGACTTTGTCTGGCTACATGTATATAACTTGTGTTTACAATTTTTTGGCAATTTTTCTGTCCATAACTGAGTGAATGAGTAAACATTTTTTCAAATATTGCTACTGACAAGAATCTTAGCCAGGGGCATTTGTGTTTAACAAAGTTTAACACGTTCTTGTTTTTTTATTCTAATAACTCTCAGTATTTTGATGAATTCTTAAATCATTTTAAAGTTTCTATGTCCAGAATGTATTAGAATAATTCTGATACATTTTTTTTTACAAATTGGAAATTCTGATACATATTTTTTTTTTTACAAATTGGAAACAATTATTTTTTCTTTTCTTTTTTTCATGAAAATGAACAATTCTTTTTTCTTTCTTTATTTTCATGAAAATGAACAAAATGGAATACTTAAAGGGTTTAGAAGTATAATTATCTTATGAAATATTTTAGAAATTATGTTTTTTCGATAATTATATGCTTGATTCTTGAAACAGTTTTAACATAGAATGTCTCTGCTATTTAACACACATGAATATTAATATTTTATACATGAACAAAAAAAAATGTTCCAGAACAAAATATTTAATGCTACTTTTAGTAGGACTGTTACCATTTATTGATGATTATGTGCATGCACAATTTGCTCTTGAATAACAAATAAACATATTTATATCCATAGTAACTCGGGAATGGTACGGCAGATTGCAGCGCATATTTTCGATCGTGTAACGGATTAAAAAAAATGTTTCTGCTACATCTAAATATCTTTAAGTATTTTTGGAGTGTATGGCCTGAAAGAATATATTCTCAATTGAACACAATCTGTTACTTTCGAAATTGCTCAAATTTTACGGTATTTTTTTCTATATACCATAAATTTGACTGATTTTTAAACTAGCAGATTATATTAAATTGAGATTATATTATTAAAGACAACTCACTCGGATAGTATGAAAATATATTCAAAGGCCAGACAAACAATATGTAAAGCCGGTACAGATTTTGATTTATGCGTCACAATTTGCAGTCCTCACAGTTCCCAAGTTCCTTTTTTTGAAAGTTTCAAACAATAATATTTCAGCAGATATATAGCTTTATGCACTTTAAGACAAACTAAACAATCCTGTAACACATTAAACAGCAACAGTTTAATATTTAGGCCATTTGGAAGCATGATATTTAAATTGAGATTCCTAAATGATTTTTTACATTAAATAGTCTATGTTGCTTAGATAATTAACAATATCCACAGAAAATGAAAAGTCAATGTACAATAATTATCCAGTTATCCAGAACAAATTGCAAAATGTTAAATTGCAGGTTTTGATACAGAGTTTTGTATCAAACCTTATTCTCCAGGATCACCAGATCAGATAATAAATTATCCAGCAAGTTTACGGAATGTCAGTGGTTATATTCTGGTGCCTGTTCATGCCTGAAATAATGTATGGAAGGGCACCTGAGGTCTTCCTCCACCAGTAAAGCTGGAAATTCACCATATTGACCTATACTGTGTTCAGGTCAGATGTAAAACCCAAAACAAAACAAACAACAAAAACCAGATAATAATTATACATTGCTGCTTTCATGGACATAAAATATGCATCATTTCTATACATACATACAATGAGTCTACATACTTACATGCACGCGTGCACGCACACACACACACACACATACATACAACTTCTGCAACAAATTATCATGGAGAACAACTGGTAGAGTTTATGATGATATATCAATACTTTATTTTGTATACATGTCAGGCAAAAACATTATGCTATCTAACTTTTAGATAGCATTATTTTGCTGTTTTTATACTGATTAATACTATTTTTCATTAGTAGAAATAGGATAGTCTATGACATGTATACGTATATATAAAGTAATGATGAATTATCGTATCATAAAGTCACACGTATTAACTACAAAACATTATGCTCAGATTATAGGCAAAATGTGGATTCTGATGACCTCTGTTATTTTCGGTACACAAAATTACGTCAAAAGACATTTGGTAGAATACTACAATTAAAAGATAAGACAAATGGTCGAATACGACATATAGAATTGAAATTTGATAGAAAAAATATGTCCAATATTGTCAAAAAGATGTTGAATTTAAATTGAAAACCCTTCAAAAGTACAGGAATATATTAAAACAAAATTGGACAGAAGTAAATGGGTGCAGTTTGATTCGTAATTTATTCTAGTTCATTCTGATGTATAATCAAATTGTTTTCCAATATTCTTTATTTCAATATTTATTCAGTATTGAAATTTGTACGCAACTTCCAGTATATTTCCCCCAACTTTTCCTCACTTTTATCTTTACTCAGTGTATATACAGTTTTATTAAAGTTAATTTTTTTGAACCCCTAGAACTTGTAAAAAAAACCAAGGGAGGTAATCACTGTGAGGAGTTTGCGACACTATATCGAAATATAATACGCTATTCCGTCAAGTGTTGTAGGTTTAAATATTTTTCGACCATAAGTCACTGACTCTATCATTTGTCCATTCTAAAATATGTCCCTTCTTTTAATTTGTTGTATTCTATAATTTAGTGTCTTTTGATGTATGGTCGTAAACCCTTATTTTCAATATTCACAGATTATATAATGTAACGAAATTCAGGATATCTATGTCCTCTATTGTTGGAAAGGCATAAGTCAACACTTTTATAACAGTATCTTGTTTTTTGTTTTCTTGTGTGTGTGTGTGTTTTTTTCTTCTCTTTAGCTTGTAATTCTTACATTGTCTATAACAACTATCATTAACAACAGGGCCGTTCCAGTTTGATTTGTTCTTTTTGAACTTGCTAAATTTTTGTTAACTTGATGTCAAATAATTTGTTGAGCCTAGTATTGTTTTTCATGCGATTATACACTCTTTAGAAGAAGATTAATGTTTTTCCATATATTAGTCAGTTTGTAGACTACTTTGTTTTCACTCTGAGTGCAGACTTCATAAGATGAATAATACTCATATTGATTGAAAGACATTTTACATATTTGGACTTGATAGGTCAAAGATGAAAGTTACCGTTTCCTTGAACTTGATGACTGTTTCCCCTCAATAACTGGCATACCAAATGACATAGAATCTAGAAACATAGTAGGATGCTTTAGAAGTTAAAGATCCTTATTGATTTTGGATTTATAAGGTCAAAGGCCACTGTCATGGAGACTGGATTTTCCAAATTTTCACAGTAACTGGAAGGCAGTAAGACCCAGAACCTTCAAATTTCATAGAATCATTTCTATAATGAGGTGAACAACTCTAAATTCTAAAAAGTGTTTTGGCCCCTGTATGTCAGTCACTTTGGCCTTGAATATTAAGATCCTTTCTACCCATGAACTGCAGTAATTTTAATTATTTTGACACAAAGTCTTCAAACTTTAAGCCTTCCATTTTTATATGATGATTGACCTTTCTGAGTAGAATCTGTTGTTTTTAGGCATATCTTTTGGAAGTTGAAGGTCACACCTAGAATTGCAATGTTGACTCTGCGCTTTTGATTTCTTATTTATATCCTTAACACCTTTATTGTTCCTCCATGATTTCTGTGATGATTTCAACTTAACAACAGTAACACCATATTGACACTGCACAGTAATCCAGGGGGATGCATAATCATTCCGACATCTTTGTTTTTTCAGCTGTTTTTTAGTGCTTAAGAATACATCATCACCTTGTTTAAAATATCTCTTTTCAAGCTATATTTTAAGCTAATCTTATTTATATACAATGTAAACTGTTCTTTATAATTACTGATCATAAGTGCTTAATTAGTGATTGGTCTATGATTTAAGCCTTGTTTTGAAATACATGTATATACATATACATGTTCAGAGAGGACACAGATGACATTTGGCTGTTCCACTTGTTACTTTGTTAGTTGTTGATATACAATGTATGATTACCTTTGATTTCTGTATATGCACATAATTATTTTTATACATAAACTTATTATGATGTGTTGGGCGGTAAGATGCCAATAAGGTGTATAAATTTTATATTTACATACACAATGTTTATATATAATTTTTGGTCAATCAATGTCATAAAATCAGGGCTGTTTCAATAAAGCCTTTCCATGGGTTGAACAACGGAATATGGGTACTTAATACCATTAAAAGAAGTCAATTTGGTTGCAAAAATAAGAAATTAAGATAAAAAAAAACACCAACAATTTTACCATAAATTATACACTGTGTATATATACTCCACACCAAAATGGCATCTTTTTGCCCAACTTATCAAAAATTTTGATTTTCAATTTGCCTTGCTTGTACTTAATACATTCTAATCTAAAAATAAAGTTATATAAAACATTTTGATGTTTCTTGATTATGCTTCCATAATTTGTATAATGATAGTTAGTTAACCCATAAGTTGGTGAATTTCTTAAATGGACATGTCTAGCTTTTATTTTTGGAGCTGTCCATTATCAAATGTAGAGAGACAAAAATTTGAAGTTTGTCAGCCAGTATATTTTGCCTGATCATACTGTATGGATATGCAAGGCTGAGCTGGGTAATATAATTGTGGCAAAGACTCACCAAGTTTGGTTCCAACAGGTTATTGGTTAATACACAAGGCAATCTGACGGACAGCTAAATCCCCTTCCCGCTGTGAACATGAATGTGTACTTCTTGACCTTTTACACGGTGATGGGGCGTTTACCACAAATTTCCGCGCAACGTCAAAATATTATACTTCTGACCGAGACACCGTATATTTCTGGACAAAATATTAATGGCGGATAACCAAATTGCAGGTAATAGCTTACAAAATATCTTACTGCTTGCATTGCAAAATTATTCCAATTGTTTAAGTACTCCATCGAAATTTCTGAAACAATTTATCGTTAATCTAGCACAACACAATTCACAAAAAAATACAGACTTCGAAGAAATAGTGTTTACAAAAGATTGTGCCTACCTCAACATGACTCGTACTTGCCACAAAAACATGCGTTAAAACGACGATGTATTTGTTCTATGACCTTACGAGCTCATGTATACATTATGGTTAGGCATAAATTCAAGTTCCATACAAAATTGTTGTGCTCTGCACATCGTCTCATTATGGTGATTTCTTATGCCAAGTAATTTCTAAAAATGTTCAACGGTTTGCAAGTTATAGAGCGGACACCAAATGTAGATTTTTTATTATGAAATGAAAACTTTTTAACATTTGACATTTAAGTGTGACCTTGACCTTGGGGTTAACAACCCAATTTTTGTGCATTGCACATCGTCTCATTATGGTGATTTCTTGTGCCAAGTAATTTCAAAAAATGTTCAGCGGTTAAAAAGTTATTGAGCAGACACGAAATGTAGACTTTTTATTATGAAATGAAAACTTTTTAACATTTGACATTTGACATTTAAGTGTGACCTTGACCTTGTGGGTAGCAACCCAATTTTTTTGCTCTGCACATCGTCTCATAATGGATCACTTGTGCCAAGTTATTTCAAAAAAAAAATTCAGCGGTTATGAAATGTAGACTTTTTTTTATGAAATGAAAACATTTTAAAAAATTTGACCTTTAAGTGTGACCTTGACCTTGGATATAGCAAATTGTGCTCTATACATCGTCTCATTATGATGATCACTTTAAAAGTTATGGAGTGGGCACAAAAGTGTAACGGACGGACAGACGGAGGCCATTCCTACAATCCCCTTTCTGCTATGCGGAAGGTGATTAATAACTAATTGAATGCTTCGAACTATATTATGAAATATTTAACACCAGGCTCATCCTACCAATAGTAAGTATTCCGCAATAAAATTCATCTATATTTTAATTTTTCGCGTAAAATTAAAACTATAATCAAAATGAATTAATGAAAACGTGAAGATACACAACTCCATATGCCAATGAAGTGAGCTAAAGACTTTTGTCAAATAATTTTTTTAAAGTCACCAGCAATTCAATTTCCAGGATTTAATGTTAAAGGATATACAGCTATTTTTTAAATTAGATATTTTTATACAGATAAAACTGTTGTTTCAATTATCGTTTGGTCAATTCTTGAAAGAGTTGTATATAACATGTAGATTGTGTTTCTATTTTTAAGACTCACAAATACAGTATACATGTATGAAAACAAAATAAAATTTTTCGATAAAAAATATATTGCTTGGTCAATTGTATCTAAAGTATGTTTTTATTAGGTTTATCAATGATTGTGTGCATGCTACATTTGCTCTTCATATAAACATACTTCACACAAACAAGTATTTATGGATTATTCATTTTCAAAATTGGCACAATAATTTTTATTAAATATACAGGCAGTAGATATTTAACTTAACAAAGTCATGTTTAATTAGCAAAGAAACAGTCTTAACAAAGCAGAATTTTGTTAAGTTTATAAAGGGGGATAATTCAGTGAAAATGTATGCAGGGGTTTTAAAAGTGACGTGGATAGTGACCAACAAGTATCTATATGTCAGAGATCGAGTTATGTTTCAACAGGAATATTTTTATTACATACCCTGGTTTCAAATTAATATTCACATCAGTTCTAGACACAAATAAACTAACCTCATTATAAGGGTTATGACTCTTGACAAAGTCCAGGCTAGAGTTATGACCATTGGTCAGTTCCCAATCATTATTACACAAATGACAAGTGTTGCTTTAAGTGTAGTTGTGGAGGTAGAATACCTTTAATAGGAAATTTATATGCCAAAAACGGTTATGTGACTGGGATAAAGTCATATGCAATGATTATTCTGAAATAGACGTATCATTGATGAGATATGAAGATGCAAAGAAACCATAATCAAATGATCCATTTTTTGCTGAAATAGGTAAATCTTTTTAAAAATTGGACAAAATCCAGCACACGTACATTGAACTATATAGCTAAGGTCAATCCTTTTGATATCCATTCACTTATTTTCTGATCCATTATATAAACAACAATTAAATAAACCCCAATTAAACTATATTAAAACTTACTTACATTTTCACCATTTTATTCCATTTTCTGACTTTCTCTTCGGTGTACATCTTAAGAAGAGAAAGTAAAGATTTGAATTTTTGGTTTTTTAATTTTTTATTTTTCATATATACATACAAAAGGGTGTCACAAAACGAAATTTAAAACTTCAATGAAATACCATCGTAAGATACTTTTATATTTTTATTCAAATTGCTAGTAACTAAAAAAATTTAATTCTTAATGTATACAAGACTTCAAGTCAATTAATTATGTACCATTTTTATCAGTTCATTGATGGACCTTCATTGATGCCAGTGAGTTTAATCAAACTATATGTCTATTTCGTCATATCTGCTATACCAGCTATTGTCAGAGTTTTCCTTTTATTTATTTATTTCTTTTTTTAAAATTTAATTGTAAACAAAAACTCATGGCCCTTAAGGGCATAAGAGTGAACAAACAAACAATACAACAAATAATAATACAAACATGGCATAGAAATACCCAATTTATGCACAGGCGCTAGTCACATAATCAAATATTTTACATAATCTGTCTTTATTATGTATATAAGATCTTATTATAGTGTATAGCCCATCTTTAAAAAGTTTGTTTCTATATGTTTCAAGTTTCACGTTTTTTTATTTCAACTAGGCCCATATGGACATCAGTTTTATAAACAGTAAAATTTCACAAACAAATGAGCATTAACAAAAAAATAATACAGATGTGTAAATAAAGCTTGAGACAAAATAATTTGCATGATAAATACAAAAATAAGATTAGAGATACCTATATATGAATGACTTTACAAATAGGTGACTAGAATGAGACATAATGGAACCGCACAATGAAAGTTCCTGACCAAAACACAAATGAAGTGATGCAGCGACATGGTGTAACCACAACATGGGGCCCATGAAGCCCCACATAGCAACCACACCACGCCGGTACAATTAGTTCCACACAAATTAAATAGGAAGTGTCACAATGCGATTACAAATGTCATGAGACCTTGAAAGATGAAAAAATAATAATAAAAAATTAAATAAAATACATAAAAATAGATGAAGTAAATAATGAAAATCAAGACAATACTTGTGTTGGCAATAGATACTGACTAGAAGGTGGTTAAAACATTATTTCACAATAGACATTATTCTTTGTGTAAAAACAGACAGTTTGATTAACACAGTTCTGTCAGTATTTTGAAATAATTGTTTAAAATTAAACATGTTACCTCTTCGTAAATTAATGGGCAAGTACTTTCTACGATAAATGTCAAATAAGGACACTGGAAAATGTAATGAAACTCATCACCTAATACAGAATTCTTTGTGTTAATTGAAAGTAAGCTTAAAGCGTCCGCGTTTTAGACAGGCCCAAATTTTGGTGTGCCGACAACGCTAATTTTATAATTGATTCGTTAAATTTTATTCGAGAGTTACTGCCCGTTGTGTCAAGGAAACATGTAAACTTCCTCTGAGATTTTTTTTTATTATTGAACTCATAGAACGGCCTAAATATTTATTTTTGTGCCATGGCATTAAGTTAAACATGTTTAATATGTTTAAATAATATGTATACTTCATGTAATAACATTATAACTGAAATACCGTGCGAAATAAATCTGGACAAAAACAAACAACATGGCGGCCAGTGCCAAAATGTCGTTTAATCATTATCAAAATGGAAAGTACGGTACATTGCCACAGAATACAAACAACGATATGGAGGTTACACAGGATATGCATCTTAAGATGTCAAAAAAGATTGCACAGCTGACAAAGGTATTACATGAAGATTAAATTAGATTTTCACATCATAAATTTAATTTTTGGAAGTGGCTAGCCAAAAGTTCTAGACGTAGGTGAGTTCATACGACTAGCCAGGACTCACTGTATTGTCTAGCCGTATAGCACTTTCAAAATTATATGGAAGTTGAAAGTGCATATGTTATTTTGTGCCTTATGATTTGTTGTTTTATTTGTATGAAAGGTTTTTGTACATGGATCGAATAAATAATGATCAGAGTGGATAAATAAAAAGAACATTGAAAAAATAAACGGTGAAATGCAAAAATAATTGTATAATTTTCAAAAAAAGTATATAGATATCGAACATAAAAGCACAATCAATTAATTAGCCTTAATTAAAGCCTACCAAGGGACTGACAATAGAATTTTAAAATGTGTTTCACGGAACATGCAAACTTTCCTTAATGATGGACAAACTTCTATACCGTCGGTAATTGACGCAATTATCAAAGCCCAACAACAATTCACGAATTCGAAAACCTAGCTAAACACCATTTTCCGGTACTTTCTGTACATTGCTCTGGGGAATTCACCTAATGGAGTGTAATTGCGAATATGATGTTTTCGGCCTTTTTTTAAAATTAAATTGAAATAAAAACATTTTTATCTTTATAAGAAAATAATTAAATATCATTGTATGAATAATTCCATAAAAAATAAAGTAAATACACAAGTTTACACAGAAAATAACCTTATTTATTCTGGAAGATTCCACTACGTCTGTTTTAATGTTATTGATTTTCATTATAAACAATTTTTTTTTTTGAAAAATTTGCAATAAATATTAAAGGAATATTGATAATTTTCAAATACATCAATTTTTTTTTCACCTTAAATGGTGAAATAATGATAGAAAAATGAAATATCATGTAACTGTGTTATGTACTTCATTTGGTGTAATTCCCCTGGCAGAGCTAAATCCATAATGTACCGGAAAACGGTGTTAAGCTAGGTTTTCGAAAAGGTCAATAAGTTTCGTTTTTTTGTTTCATTTAAAGGTGTCGAAAATTAAACTTAATGAAACAAAAAAAGACTATTATCAAAATTTCTAAACTATTTCAATTGTTGTTATTTAACTGCGACCAAACGCTATTTTTTCTCGACGTCTTGAGATGACAATTTCACAAAGATCGATAATTATACTTTTTTTACTGTAGCCAACAAGGCGATTTATCTCTAAAAAGTAACATACGAAGACAATTGCTGTTTCTTGGTTAAAAATCCTCGCTTAAAGTCATAAAATAACATATGCATTTATGACTTCCATATAATTTTGAAAATGCCGTACGGCTAGCCAATACAGTGAGTCCTTGCTAGTCGTACGTGACTCACATACGGCTAGAACTTTTAGCTAGCCGTACGGCTAGCTACTTCCTTAATTTTTACCAACTGGAAGTAGATAGCCTAAACAGAAAATCTAGTACATAATTTCAAGTCAAGACAAAGTGCTATATGGCTTTGTGATAATTTCAGTTTGTTCTAAGTTATTGACATCTATTTGTTTAAGTTCCCCAAGAGGGGTTTGGCTTTAATGGGAAAACAAATAGATGTCAATAACTTAGAAAGTTAATCTCACCTTTAATAAGAATTGAACGCAGTAACCTCTGGATAAGGAGTCCAGTTTTCTACCCATACAAAGAAGATTCAGTTTTGCCAAACTTGATGATAGACATTCATTATTTATTGTTTGTCACAGTCAGTCATATTTACTTAGTCTGTTTTGTTTCAAATGTCTGTTTGTAATTTTATGTTTAAAACGTACCTATATTTATTGAGTATATTTGGCCACATTTACAAATACTTTATCTTTAATATAAAAGTAACCATGTTGATTTTATTGTAGGTTATCTATGCGCTGAATACTAAAAATGATGAACATGAAGCTGTGCTCCAACAAATCAAAGAACAACATGAGGAAGAATTACAGCAGCTACTGCAAGGAAACAAAAAGAAAAAATTGCCCAGTTTAAAGAGAAGATAAATGCTGAAACCTCGCAGAATAAAAAAGACTGGAATATCTAGAGAAAAGTTTAGTTGAACATGAATCTCTTAAGAGCAGGCATTTAAAAACCAGTTTGATTCATTAAAAGAGAAGCTGAAGAAAGAGAAATGAGGCTTAAATCAGAACATGCACAAAAGATGCTTGAACTGTCTCAAGATGTGCTTCACACAAAAAAGGATTTTGAAGAAAAGTTAAGACAATTTGAAGCTTGGAAAGTAAGGCGTTAATGAGTGATAATGAAAGAAAAAAATAGGAGAACTGAAATTAAGCCATGAAAAAGAAATTTTGAGGCAGTTAGAATCTGAGCAAAGATCAGAGTAATGACTGGTTAAATGAAGTTAAAAAGGTTGAAGATAAATATAAGGCGCAGAAATTAGAAAAACATTGCATGCTAAATTTAAAGAAATGGAAGAGGCAAAAAAACTTCAAATGAAAGAGGAATATGAAGCCAAACTTGAAAAGGGCAACGTCTATTCTATGAAAAGGAACTAGAAGCTGTTATGAAAATGAATAATATTTTCTTCTGAAGAAGCTAATAGGATGTTACAAGAAGAAAAAAGACAAACTAAGCAAAGACTTTTGCAGCTCAGGAAGCTGAAACTTAAAAACAAATAAACAGTGTACTTAGTCAATTAACTGATAAAGAAGATGAGGTGGACAAAACTAAATGAAACATTAAAAAATTTAGAAAATAATCTACAAGAAAAAAGATGGTAGTTCACACATGATATTTATATTAATCTTGGTATTCAACAGAGATAGAATGGCTTACAAAGCAAGGACGTGATCATTGGAAAGATAGATTTCTGTTCTATTTAATATATATGATTTGCAAGATGATGTATTATACCTATGGTCCTTTCTTGAAAAATTTCCCTAGGGTCTTTCATTCATAACTTATCGATGAAAAGTGTACTTGTATTTGATCCTTTTTGGTGGTTTTTTGACTAATGTTTTAGTCGGAATAATTTATAATTTTTGTTAGAATATAGATATAAATAACTAATTCGTAAATTTTTCAGCAAATAACAGTTTATATTTACTATTTGGATTCATTGTATAAAAAAGATTAAGAGTATAATTTAAGTTTGCACTATAAAATTCAATAAAATTAAAATTATTTAGTGCTTAACAAGAGCATCAATAGATATTGTCAACAATTCAATCATTCCTTGAATTTGGAATATTCTGCAGTTGCTCTCATAAAGAATGTATAATCCATTGGAGCGCCATGTATTGAAATACAATTGAACAAAAGCTTGCTAAACGCTGAAAAGAGATTACATGTGAAAACTGGAGCTGGTAATGAAACGATCTGTTGAGTAGACAGGAAGCACGCGTAAATGGTGGAAAAAGTGGGTGTGGAAGATAACAAATTAATGATTTTAGTCATATCTAGTCCCTAATACATGTAAATGATAAACCATTTTGACCTTTACATCTATTTCAGCAAAACTTACTAATCTGTTTTAGCAACTAGTTACTTTGGTACAAGTGGCAATGTTAATGTTTGGAAATTAGGAGTTCATACCCTCAAAACAAGAAAATGCCAGTCTGCACATGTTACTATTTGGCCAAACCCTAAGATCCTTCGAATCTCAAATATAACAAAGTAACTCAATAAATCAGATATCTTGATAGGCTATCTAATCCCTTTTACAGCATTGTTTTCTATCTATTCCTATTGACAGAATAAACTCCCTACTCCGCACTATATCTGAAGCATCGTTCGCTTTTTTTGGAATTAGTCGTACTTGTGGGAATAACAGTAAACAGCTTCTCAATAACAACAGTTCCTTTGGAGCTATAAAATCGTCAGGTTCCTGTATGTCACAAATGTGGAACAAGGGTGAGAAAAACGTGCAGGCTACTTAGGCTTCACCTGGTAAATATGTAAACAACGGCTTGGTGGCTCCTACTGAGACGATCTACTAACTGAGCCAATCTGGCCTGCTTAAAAATTTTTTTTTTTTCCCTTTCTGTTTTAGTGGAAGGGAGTTCCTATAACTCCTGCCGCACACAGTATTACTCCTTAAGCATATCTTGAATTTTGGTGTACACTTTTTGTAATTTGTACAGCCGCCCATTGGAAATCTTCCGAAAGCACAAACTAACAGAATGAATCTACAATACATAGAATTATAGAAGGTAAATAAACAAACTGAAGGATAAACTGTTGCAGATGGTTAGAGAAGGAAAGCGTAATGAACCTATTGAACGACAAAAGTCACGAGTCTCACTTTCAAATACCAAATGTCTACTATTGGAAATCATTAGAAGTATGCTCATGCTTGAAGTGGTGTCTGTAAGAATTTAAAGATGAATATCATATAATTGAAGGTGTATAGAGAGTTGGCAAAATATGTGCCTTTTAGGGTCACATATATCAGAAATTGTTGATATATTTTTAAAGATTTTCTATACATTTGTATCGCTATTATATTGAAAAGGAACAAAATATAGAAATGTCTCACAGTTTGGTTTCCTTTGTGTCAAAAAAATGAGATAAGGGGATAACATGACTGTTTTTTCTTTTTTCATTCATTTTTTTTTTAAAGTTTAAAAATAGATAAAATATTAAGGTTCAGGTATTAGCCACAAACGGGCATTTAATAGTGCATTTTCTGAGAGAGTAGTAAGATCTTGATCTCTGATATATAGAACTCATTGGCTGAGCTTATATAATATTCCATTCTGTGTTGTCACCTGAAAATTAATATTTGGTGTGAATATTAGTTATTAACTTATAACATTATCTGTGTCTTCCTCTAGTGAAAAATTCGCACCTCGAAAGGTAATATTTCTTGAGAGTTAAACTTCATCACTATGTCGTTAATAGAATGCATAAATTTAGAGTTTAATTGTTTGTGATTCATAACTCCCATAGTTGGATTTTAATTGAGAATGTAAAATTAGGCATGCGCCCTATAATGCAAACTAAGGTGTCCCTTGGTTAAATGTTTGTATGTATAGAGTTAATCTAATCTAGGATAGTAGCTCGCGCATTGAACAGTTAACTGTCCTGGACTACTTCAGGTTTAATAAATTCATAGATAATTGTCGCAAGATCCCATAACTTCCTTAAGCATTGATTTTTCGATATAATAGAATGGAAGTTTTTTTAAATTTAAAAAATTTGCTTACAAAAAATTTTCAAAACATGAGAGGAAAATAAACTAGATTATGGTTGTTTTCATAATCAAATTCAGCATTAATTCTCAGAGACCTTTTTTTTTCAGAGGAAACCAGGCCTGGGTAAAAGGGGACCTGACTGAAGAATTGTTTATGTTACAATTTAATAATAAGGTTAAACTCTTCAATGTTTCATGTAAGCTGCGGATTTAATCATATAGAGTAACAAACAATGAAATGGAGAGGATATGAGCGTGAAGATCGATGTGAGTCTTACGCACTAACAACTAAACTCCAAGCAAGTCTGACCGGAAGGACACTTTGCCATTAACCTCTAAAGCCATACAGGACAGAAATTGGAGGTAAAATTAAACGTGGGAAAAGTTAATGGTCGCGATATTCTTTGCTTGTGCTCAATTATAAACAAACAGGCTGCAGATAAACTTTCTAAGTGATTACGACAAAATACATAGGTTTGGTCTTATATTTTTAATGGTGATAGCTGATGAGCAATCTGCTCTTTTGTTGGAATGACAATTTATTATTATTTTTTTTCTTGTGCCAAAGGGGCATACAGGAGGATTACATTTTACATCTCTCTTTGGTATTGCAGATTATTAAATTTGTAAGGTTAAATTCTACCACTAATTTTGGTTCATGTGGAATTTTGTTCAAAGCATTATGAATAAATACAAGGATTGGACTGGACAGATCGTTACTTTTGAATAGTTTAAGACTGGTGCAACCTGTTATTATTAAATGAAAATATTATAATATAATTGTCTGTTTGATAGTCTATAAATAATTTATATGACTTTTATTTAGGAGTTGAAAAGCGAGGCAGCGTGAAACAGAGGTCAGCAGACATTACTAAGAAAACGGTGACGGCTGTACAACGGTAGCTGGAAACTTGAGGTCTAGAGCTGACCAGTGACTTAATCTGCAAGAAGGATGAGGTATATTATTTATTTAAAGAAGTCTGAATATTTTCAATTGATGTGTAGCTGCGTGCAATGTTGTTATGAGTTAAATCAGCTCTAGAAATGTATTTAAGGGACCATAAACTGTAACGCTCTGTGAGCTCAATGTCATAAGGGCATATTTGTTAGTTATACGATGAGTCCACCATTGAATTTGTACATATAAGTGGTTTTGTAAAAAAGTTAAGAATCCATGATTATAAATACCTTGGTCTATCGGGAGTATAGGGGAAGGTATAAAGATTATAATATAGGGGCCTCTGCAATGACTAAAAGAGGTTTGATAGAGGGATCATTTTAAATTTGATAGCAGAAACTGTGTAAGTTTGTATAAATTGGAAAGAATATTTTATTTCCATTAATTTTGTTAGACATTTTTTGGTTGCTGATAATCATCTCCGCCTTGATTTTTTGGCTTCCGAGTTTCTTGTTGTATAAGTAGTTCTCATGATAATAGATAAATTATATATTGAACTGCTTTGGGCTAATGGTGTCTCATTCATCAGTTTTCACATAAAAAACACTATTGGGGTGCCCCCCAGTTTTTTTTTAATTGTTTTTTAATACTATGATGTTAAAAAATTTTTACTTATCAAAAATCAATAGCTAGTTTTTTTTTGACAGTTTTTGAAAAATTTTGTTAAAAAATTATAGGTTTAGTTTTCCCAAATTTTTAAAAAACGTTGGTTTTTTTCAGTTTTGTAGGCTAATTTTAAATTTTAGTTTGTCAAAAAGTATTTGTTTGGGGAAAAAAAAAATTTAATTTTAAATTGTGAAAGGAAAGTGGTTTTTTTCAGGTTGCAAGGGTGAAGGGTTTTTAAAAAACAAAGAGCGGGTTGGATCACCACGGGTATGAAAAACGTTAGTGATGAAACACTAACTCAAAAAAACTAGGAAATCTGGGAACAAAAAGCTGGAAAATCGAGATCTGATGCAGGTAATTTGTTTATATCAATGTTCTGTAGGATGCTAAATTTTCCGTCCCAAATTTTTTGTGAATGTACAAACTTTGTGAAACAGTTCACTTTTGTATATTTTTTTATTTTTTTGGCATTTTTTATTTCCCCGGGCCAATGTATTTAATTAAAAAAAGTAAATTATATTCTATTTTTTTTTGGTTTAATTTTAAATTTATAAAAAAGCGAAAAAAAATTACCTTTACAAAAAAGACCTTTGCATTGGAGAATTTATTTTCTTTAAATTTTCACTTTTTTGAGAAAAATCATTTTCATCAAAACTTTCAATTTTTCTATCTTTTTATGAGAATGAAAATAAGGGGAAAAAATAAATTTATTGATAACTAAATGATTGCTTATTTCATTGATTATTGTCCCCTTAGCATTTAAAAGGTGCCTTTTAAATTTAATAAAAGTTAATCTTTTTTTGCACTAAGTGAGTTGTTGTATTTTATAAGCTGAAATAAATGTTTTTTTTTCTTAAACTAAAAGTTGGGGTCATATGAAGTGACTAAAAAAAGCAAGATAGAATTTCCCAGGAAAAAAGGAGAAAAAATCTGAAATATAAAATGGCAGGACTATTCAGGTTTTTTTAAAATTTTACTTCTGGGTTTTTAGGGTATCCCTTTTTTGCACTTTTTTAAGATAAAATTTTTCTTTACAAATTTTAAGGGGTATTTTTAAAGTTTTAAATTTAGTTTTAATTTTTCCATTTTTGTAATCCCTGTGAAAATACATAAAAAGCTTGCTGAAAAAAAAGAATCAAAAAAACAGCAAAATTAATAAAAAAAAACTAAAAATTATTACCTAAAAAAAAACAAAAAAAAAAAAAAAAAAAAAAACCCCCTGAAATGTTCCCAAAAAACAGGGGCCTTTTTAATAGAAAATTTTTTTAATGAAAACATTAGAATCTTTTGGGTTTATGGGGACTTCCGTCTTCACTTTTTCGACCCTAAATGACCTCAAAATTTTGCCGAAACATAGCCTTTATCCTTTTAGGAACTACCCAGTTATTTAAACTTATTCAGTATTTTTTCGGTGCCAAAGTGTGTGAAATAATAATAAATGGGGGAGTTTCCCCCATAAATATTATGGGTTGTTATTCCCCTTTACCCATGTTAAAAAATATAATCCTCCTCCACAAAATTTTTAAAAGTTAAATTAATTTTGTTAAAATGTCATGCTTTGATGGAAATAAAAGTTATATTTTAATTTTTAAAGTGAAATTTATTTAAAATTTTCCCTGCACCCGACTGGGTTTTAAATGCGGATGAAAAAATATTTATAACTAATGGAATTTCAAAAAAAAAAATTTCCTTCGTATTAAATTTTCTATCCCATGTAAAAATATTGCATTGTGTCCCCGGGAAAATATTTTTTTTACATGCAAAAAAAAAAAATTTTTATAATGTTATTGTTGTTTCTAAGACGAGAATGGGTAAATACTGAAGAAAATTACGGAACAAAAAAGACGGAGTAGGGCGTTTTAGAAAAAATTATAAATGAAAGATGAAGAAATAATGGCCACTCGATCAGGGGGGAAAATAAAGTTGCTATTTACCAAGGGGTAATTTTATTTTTTTGTAAATTCTTCCTGTTTATTGTGAAATTTGCAGTATTGAAAAATCCTCAAAAAGGATTTTAACATGAATTTGGTGGTAAAATAGATGTTTTTGTGCGGGAAAAAACTATTTTAAAGAAATTTTTTTTATAGGGAAAATTGGGTTGGGGTTTTTTAATTTTTCTGTGCTTATTTGTGGGAACATCACCTCCATTTGATGTTTTTTATTTTGGGGGAAAAATCAGCTTAAAATATTAAATTCTTTTTGGAAGTTTGACGCTAGTTTAAAAAAGGGGGTGGTTTGCCCTACCTTTTTTTAAATACCTTTTTCAGAGAGATGTTTGGGGCTTTTCTCTTCCTTTATAGCTTTTTTCCTTAATTTGGTTCAACATCGTTTTGTCTAGGGGGTTTTAAATGAACCCCCGAAATTTCCCCTTTTGTCTGTAATTGCTCTTAAAAAGAAAGTATGGCAAAAAACAACTCCAAGTTTTTAAAAAAACGGAAAAAGATGAGGCGGAAGTGAGGAAGGGGCGGCGGGGAACAGGATTCTAAAGGTGGATGAGTACGGGTAAAGATACAGGTTTTAAAAAAAATGAAGAAAAATCATAAATGAAGGAGAAAACCAAAAGACCTAGGGGTTGTGTCATTTTTTTTAAAAAAATAGATTTTTTAAATTTTTGGGGATTTTAGATTTTTTTAAAATTTTTTGGAAAATTTTGTTTTTTCCCCAAAGAATAGTTTTTAATAGAGGAAAATTTATTTTTCACTTTTTTTTTTTAGAGTTAAAAAAAAGGTATGATCGGGAAATTGGGGATTTTCAAAAAGAACTTTCTGTTGTTTTTTACCTTTTATTTAAAATGCATTTTTTCCTTTTTATCCCTTTCTTTAAAAAAATTTAAATTTGTTTGCAGTGCAATTTGCTTTTTAGTCAAATGATATAAATTTTCCCCCTGTACAAAAAAAGGAAATTTTTTAAGAGCATCTAAAAACAGCAAGCACAAATGTCCTAAAATAACTGTAGCAGCCCCCAAAAGAAAAGTGACCGCGAGAGACAGCGAATTGATGCTCTAGGGCTAAAATTGGGAAAGAAAAAGGTTTTCAAGTTTTTATATAATTTTTAGGTTTATGTTTTTGCTTTTAAAAGAAGTGTCTAGAGGGTTTTTTTTGAAAAATTTAAAAAAATTTCCCCGGGTATGTTGAAAAAATTAAAAAATTTCCGTAAGTATTTTTGAGAAAAAAAATAATGATTTTTACTTCATTTTTGTATTCAATGATTAAAAAGATAATTATGTGTAATATATATTTTTGATGTAAAAATTTTAACTATAATAAAAAAGAACACCGCATAAAGGGAATGACCCTTTTTGGGATTTTAAATGAGTCAAAAAAAAGTTAACATTTTTTAAATGACCCAAAAAATGTGAAGTAGTCTTTATATGTTAAAGTAAATTGAATAGGTAACAATAAGAAATTCAAAAAATTGTTTTTATTTATTTTTAAAAAGCTATAGAATTTTAAAATTTTTTAAAATTAGTATGTCAAAAAAAAAAAAATTAAAAGGTTTTTTTTTTCATGGGCGTCATTTTTGACTATTTTGTTTTCATTTAAAAAAACTATTTTAAAATTTAAAAAATTTTTTAAAGAAAACCCCTTGTTACTCAGGGCAAAAATTTTAAGGGGTTTATAAATTACTACAAAATTTTATTTTAAAAGCGTCTACGTGATGAATTGTTAACGTCATATTCAGGAATGGGAAAAAAAACCAAAAAGGGATGAGGCACACTGCAGGCAGCAAGATGGAAATTTTAAAAAGGGAGTTGAAATCTCTAAACAGAAGGTAAAAATTTTTTAAAATCATTTAATACTAAAATTTTTTCTAAAAAAAATCGAAGAAAACTAGGAAAAAATTTAGTCTTTTTTTCTTTCAGGTTTTGTTATTATTTGATTACTGATGGTTTTTCCCTTTTTTTATATTTTAAAAAAGGTAGTACTTGATAAGTTTAGGGGTTAAGGGGGAAAAGGGAAACTTTTACAGGGCCCCTTTTTTCCCGTTAAATTTGTTTAGGTTCTTTTTGAGTAAATTTTCCTACCTGAAAAACGGGGGGGAACCCCTGGCAAAATTTTGGGCATTTTTCCAAAAAAAAATTTAAATTCTAAATTAAAGTTTTTTTTTTTTATTTAAGGTTAAAAAAATATTTTTAAAAGGGGGTTGTAAACTTTTTTAATATTTTCTTAAAATTTTCAAATTTTCTTAAAAAGTTAATATAAAAAGGTTTGGGGAAAGTGGGTTTTTTGTTTCCCCCCTTTGTTGTTTTTTTTAATTGGGCTTAAATTGGGGTTTTTTCTTAAAATTTAAAATTATTTTTTTTTTTTTTCTAAAAATTATTTTTAAAAATCCCATTATGAAATAACTTTATAAGACAAAGTACAACATTTTGTTTATAAAAGGTTTAAAAACATAAGGGATTCTATGGGGTAGGTAGGTGTCTGGCTATTCTTTTTGGGCAGCTAATTTAAAAATACTTTAGAACAAAGTTTAAATTTTTTTTCAAGGAAAGAGATCATGCTCTTCGTGTAGAAGATCTCCAAGGGGGGAAAATCAGAGAGAAAGACATATCACAAAAATGAAAAAAGATTAAAACCAAAATAAGACGTATAAAACATTTTAAAAAAGGATAAATTTAAACGGCAAGAAATTTTAGAAAATAAAAAGTGAAAATCAAAACCCCAATTAGGGGTACATTAAAATTTAATTTTTTAGGGGGGTGGGGCTACAGAGCTTATTTTTTATTTTTGAATGATTTTCCTTATTTCTTTTTAAAAAACCCCCCGAGAAATTTAACGTTCTGTTTTTAAAAAAATATCAGCTAGATGTATAAGGTTGTAGTTCTACTCGGTCCCCCTTGTGCCTAAAAAAAAAAAAATAATAATTATTTTTTCGATTAAGATTTTGGGAAAAAAAATTTTGTGTCTAATACTTTGATTTATTGGGAATCCGATGAATAAAAAGTACTCTGAAAGATTAGTTTTTTTTGAAGATTTGTTTTTTTGACTATTGAGTTGACTGTGTGTATGGAAAATTTTTACTTTATTAGTTTTTTGAATTTTATAAAAGGTTGTAGAAAGAAAATGTTGGGAAAAGGAGGAGGATGGGAATCTACAAGCGGTATCTACGTGACTACAGGAAAATTTGGACAGTTTTAAGAGGCTCAGAAATATCAAAGATAAAAACTCAAAAACTCCCCGTATGTAAGTTTTGGATTTTTTACTTTTTTTACTAGATTTTTATGTTTAATTTTATTTTTTTTATTTTTAAAGATTTGTATGTATGTACAAAAAAGAAAAAAGTTTAGGCTTCACAATTTCCTTATTTAAGTGGACAATATTTTTTTAGTAATTTTGTCATGATACTAACTAATGATTCACGAGAATGTTTAGAAATTCAGGTATCAGTACCACTCATGTAACTCCAAGGTTCTATAAATATGTTTTATCCATGTTCATTGCCTTCAACAAAACAGCTGGAGATTTAAATTAGCAGTTCCAAGGCTATTACAATATAAGCACATCTGTAAATCAAGAAATACAAAGTTAGACCATTAACGTCCAAGAGGTCTATCTTTGTTAAACCTACATGCCTCCAGATGATCAAAAATATTTCAAGAATATAAAAATGTACTACGATTTTAAGAAAAGCAAAAAGTTTCATGGTTAAAGTAATAATTTACATGTTAGTGTGATTAATGACTTTTGCAGAGATTCAAATATTATGTTTTTAGGCTTTTAAAATGAGGATTTGAATTGTCAACAAATAATATATATTATGTATATGTTTTTATTTAGGTTACAAGAGGCAGAAGATAGGTACGAGAATCGTGATTCCCGGCCAGAAGATCTAGAACTGATTGATCAGCTCAGAGAAAGAGTTCGGGAAAAAGAAGAAAGAGTGCATGCTCTTATAGTATGTTGTTTTTTTGTTGTGATCATTTGGTTACCCTTTATCTAAAATCTGCTAGAACCAAAAACCATAAACTTTTGCATTTTGGCACCAGTATAGATTCAAACTAGCCTGTACATCTGTTAGCTTACTTTTGAAATCCCTTAAACTTTAAATGGACTGTTCTAAATTCAAATTACACAAAATTAACAAGTTAAAGGCACATACTGTTCTAAATTCAAATTACACAAAATTAACAAGTTAAAGGCACATTATGTCTCAGAAACAAATATAATTAATTCTTTAGTACAGATAAGAGTTTCATAACATTTAAATAATGGTTATAGAGCATTTTAGATGTTTATCACATGTAACCTGTAGGATGAAGATTGGAATGGGAAATCTTTTGTCAAAAAAGTAGAAAATGTAAACAATGCAGATTTTGACTTCCATACAAAATACTAAAATCACTATTACTTGCAGGTGCCAAAATAGCAACAGAATCAAAGGGGTTGTTCAATGAAATTGGCAATATGTAATGATCTTTGGAAAATTATTAATAGGACGACCAAAAATTTGGGGAAAAAAAAAACATTAGGCATTTCTGAGGCATAATGGGCCTTTAAGGGCTAGGTGTGATGCTTATACTGTTATATTGTGACTTTAAAGCAAAAGAAAGCCAGGTGAACTTTAATAGGTACATGTACTGAAATAAATGCACTTTTCTTAAGTTTTGTTACATTTTAACACAACATGACACAGTTTTCAATTGAAACCTTTGATTAAATGTTTTGAGTTTAAATTTAATTTGATCATGTCTCAAGTTTAGACAAAACATGTTGAGTTATTTTGCTTTTCTTTTGAAGATGACCACTTTAGTAGTATTTTCAGTTGTCTCAAATTCTTACATTTACCAAGTGGTAAATAATCGTATTTCAATAAAATGTTTTGCACTGATGAAGGCTATGTATTTGTGCTACTAAAACATTTACAGTTAACATAACGAATAACTGTTAGTTCATATTGGTGTGGCTTTTTTTGTTTTCATTTGTTTCATAAAATGAGCAGCGTCATGACAAAACCAACATAATGCGTTTGCATCTGCCCAGTCTGATCAGGATCCATGCTGTTCGCTTACAAACTCTATTACAAATAAAGAAACTGATAGTGAACAGCATGGGTTCTGATCAGACTGCGCGGATGCGCAGGCTGGTCTAGATCCATGCTGGTCACAAACGCATTACGTTGGTTTGTTCAATTTGTTTCATAAAATGTAATTATTTTCACTTAATTTTTCAGGAAGAGAAGAAGTTCTTTCAGATGGAACTTGTAAATAGAGAAACCAATTTTAATAAAGTATTCAGTTGCAAGTCCAAAGTAGGAGTTCTTAATCCTTTAGATGCAAAGGTAAATTAATTTGAAAATCTTCCCTTAGACTTTTCTATCAAAGGATTTTTTACCTTCTTGTCTTCAAAGATAGAATAATAATGATATATTGACAATGCACTTAAGGCATGACATTAGGTGTAAAAAGGCTAAAATGGACTTTGGCTTGAAAAGTTATTGGTCTATATTAAATGCAGCACCAATTGATTAATCTGTTTGATTTGTTTAAAAAAGCACTTATCTGAGTGCCATTTATATTTTGTTCATTCTTTGTTTATTGGGTCCTTGACATAAAAAATGTGGGCAGCTGTTTGGGGGTATGAATAGAAAATTTGGATATTTATTACAGAATTAGAAATTGTTTAATTTTATCTGGTGGCTGTTAACTGCTTTAAGTTACATAATGCTCAAATTTTTTTAACCTGTTCAGGCAGAAATAAATTTCAATTGCATATTTCAAAAAGATTGACTTTAAACAATGGCGATTTACACAATAATTAATGACAAATGTTTTACAGTAAAATATTAAAACAGCCTGAAATATAAAAAACTGGTCCCACTTTTTTTTATAAATTGAAGTATACTGATAACTTCCGCAGATACTTGTAGATATTTATGTGGGTCACGGTGGTTATTGATTATCAGGCGGGACGTTTATAATTGAAATTGAAAACAAATATGTAGACAATGTATGGACAAAATGTAAAGTTTATTTTGAATTTTTACCTGATCAGTCGTTTCATTTACACTGTGATGGGCACAATGTCACTTTAAATTTATTACAAAAACTGACAATCAAAAACTAGAGCCCACTGACGGATAAGAAAAAAACATTGAGGTCAAATAAATGAAAAACTGTCCGTATGCTGAGGGATTTTTATTAAACTTTTTTTGTGCCAATGAATGAAAAAGAAAATCATGAACATGGATGGGTTGTTATAGGTTTTGACCTTTCTTGTTAATGGTACATGTATTATATTTGAGGGTAACAGGAAACTACAGTATTTGATTCTTAACTTGTAAAAATACTTGTGTGATGGCATGTACTTAAATGAAATTCCATCGGAAACTGCTCTGTCGTACAAGGTTCCTAGGAAATAGCTTGCACCATTCATCAACTATAATGTTCTAATTTTTTCTAAATCAAACTAATATGACTATGTTCTCTTTCATGAGACATTTTATGATTACTGCAAGTTTTTGTAACATCACTTTTCATTTTAATAATCTTATCGTTTTATATAGTTTTATATACACGACTGCTGTCAATTCAATAATAAATCTTCTTTTTTCTTCCAAAAAAGGAAGTTCCCAGTATTATTAATTCATTATAAATATTCCTGACAAGGGTATATTGGCCATATAAAAAACAGTTGTTTGCAATATAACTCTCGTCTAGCGGCTCGGGTTGTAAATATAGTAGACCACTATAACCTGTTTAAAAAAATCTTAATAACTTATAATATAAATTTCTATCATGTATCAGTTAATTATATGTATTTTTTACTTTGACCTCTTTTCATTGCACTGTGAAACTATGATTTTGCAGAGAACGAGTTCTAAAGGAAAGGAAACAACTCTGCACCAAACTTAAGTGGAAGGCTGGACCCTTTACCCAAATATATATATAACTCCAATACATCATGGTCAGTTGAACCCATCAAGACCGTTGCCATCTTTCACAAAGAAGTTTGTGAAATGATGATAATTAGCGTTATTTACTAAACAGGGATCCATCCAATGCTCAGGAAAAATTTTTTTAACCAACTGATATATTAAAAAAAACCTTTTGGTAAAGGAACACTGCTTTTAAATAAAAACTTTTTTTAATTTTTTTGTAATAAGAAGTTATTTTATTCTGGAGGTGGTCATAATAGAAGATGATATGGACATATTTTTTGCTTTTCAGTCATAAAATATATCATGGTTTTAACTCTTTAGTGTAAATAAATAGTGTCAGCATTTGGAATTTACAATGCTGCCTTAGTTTGGTTTTTTTTTGTTATTTGCCATATTATTAAATACAAATCAAAAGGTAAAAATTTGTGTTATAAAATTGGTATTGCATTATACATTACAAAATTAGTGCTAACAGTTATAAAATGGAGTGTGCAGCAAAAGAAACCAAAGGATGTTATTATATGAAGTAACATTGATTTATATTTATTTATCATAAGTGCTATATTCATTGACAAGAACACACCTTTCTGTAGTATTTATTATCAGAACTAGTAATTTTTATCTTTTATCAATTACCGACTATTTTTTTATCTTTGATACATTATTACCTATGCCTAAGTTGTTGTTAAAAGTTACCAAAGTAGCAATTTTTATCTTTTATTTATTACCAAAAAACTAGCTATTTTTTTTATTTATCTTTAATACCTTGTTGTATACATTAATGTTAAAAGTTGTACAAAGTTACTGGCTTATTACCGAATGTATGCCTTTAAGCAGCTGTTAGATTGAGCCTAGATTGGTTCATTACCTTTCTTCCTTGAATGAAATCAGTCCTGGTTACTAGTGGTAACTAGTTCAGGTTAGCAGACTCCCGAATAGTTCAAATTATGCTTCCTGCCTTTTTCCCTATGAATAGAAAATAAAGTTACTAAAGTTGCCATAATTTATAACTTTGAATTTGTGTGGTTCTTTGGTCATTATATAGAACACATACATGCTTTGTGTTTTTTTTTCATTGTACTTAAATGCACAGATATACATACAATATTTAACTCCGGTAGTTGTCTTTTGTATTTTTTCTGTACAAGATAATTGTCATATCAACTTCTATTACACTCAAACTTTTATTGGGGTATATTACTGTATGAAAAAACCAAAACGAGGGTTTTGTTTGATGTTTTGAAATGGACTGTTTTTATTCAAAATAAGGTCATTCTGTATGCACATGATATATGCTAGAGTGGGTGGCAAAGCACTCAATAAGTTAATAAACCTTGTCACTGACCGATTGAAGTCCTAAATAGTCCTGTTTTTCTGTGGGAATGGTATCTTAAAAAAAGTTAAGAGTCTTAATTTTATTTCTTTGAGAATAAGATACAATTGAGGTCACTTCAGCTTTGTTTCCAGTTTTTTACAGTATATGAATACTGAACAGTTTTGGAGTATATTTGTTTGTGAGTTTTATAGCCAAGGTTGCATTTAAGTCAGTTGTAACGACACTATAATCACTTATTAGTCACACTATTTTCACTTATTGTGTTTGAACCAGTATTTTTCTATCTATCCATTTGTTTTTTTTTTGTTTTTTTTTTTACTAAAACCAGTCTAAAGTTTAAAGCTAATTAAAACTTGGAACCAATCTAATTAAGGTTCTTTATATACTGTTGACATGTGAAATGATAGATCAGACATAGATAAGTTATAGATGCACAAACTATTACAAGTGAACAAATGCACAGGCATGTATTTTAACAGGCCTAAAAATCAGGGTAGTTTACAGGTCAGTGGTTCAAGTATGGTGCCTGCTCATGACTGAAATAACCCACAGAAAGGTACCTGAGAGTTTCCTCTAGCACTGAAGCTGAAAAATCACCATATTACATTGATCTCTGGCATGGGTTCGATCCCCGGGAGATGCTTTGGTAGTTTAGCGCGGAGGTAGGTAGTCTAGTACTGGTGTAACTATCCAGGAACGATGGTTAGAAAACTGCCTGCCTATATGACTGAAATACTGTTGGTAAAAGGCGTAAAATGAAACAAATTAACAAACAAACATTGATCCTGTTTGTGTATTTTGACTCTTATCACACTTGATATCTAAAACTGACTTTTCCATTTAGACAAAACCTCAAATTAAAAACATGTACTGACTGAATAGTAAAAAGTGCAGACCATGATCAGATGGCATGGATTTGCTGGCTGATTTTTGGCTGCACTTGTTGTGTGGTTAGAATCAAGAGTTCAAAATTGTTTTTTAAAGAATTTTAGGGGGAGTAAAAAAGGAATTTTGTGATACTGCTTGAACTTAAATAAATTTTAGAAAGTATTCTTAAAACTTATCCAGTTTTAATTTTGTTTCTATTTTTTTCAATTGTTTAAAATCATGTTGTAAGTAGAAGAGTCATTTTTTAAATTTCGATCTTTTTGCACTTTGTCTGTTCAGTGTTGAATAGAAATTTGTTTAATGTATTAACAGTAAAAGTATTATTGACTTTTAAATTTAGGGCGTTAATTTCTTGTTTGTTATGGTTTCATTAAGCAATTTTAAGACTTATTCTATTCTGTGTATAAAACTGTTAAGCATTTCTGTGATACATACATATATATAAAATGTATAATGTATTTGTTCAAATGATGTAACAGTTGTGATGATTTATTTAAATATTTGTTGTAAACAGACTAATTTGAAGACAGTGCATGAAATCTCTGTATATTTGATCTGAGTAAAAGGTGTAGAGATTGTAGATGTAAATAAATAGCATGAGCTTATGGAAATTAAATTTGCTCTCATTCAACTTCAGGCAGTCGTATTACTTTATTTAAAAAAGACTTGAGTTTTATTCATTACTTAAAATATCTATATTCATATTAGCGGTTTTGTTTCCAAAAATAATTTAAATTGATTGATGAATGTAGGTCATTTTTCAAATGACTGAAAAAGTATAACTTTCAAATCATATCTACACTTTTTTAGAATTTGAGATAATGATAACAAGGTTTTTCTTTTAAGTTAGAAATTACTTACCCTTTAAATACCCCATCCAGCAGACATTGTGATATATTTGCTGGTAGTAAAGCATGCTGTTTTTTGCAATTATTCCTCTAAACAAATATCTGCTTACTTTGATAGGAATGAAAAGCTTGTAACAGGTACAAAAGCCATGAATAAAATGTTTTGAATAAGTTATGTACAATTTAACAGTATTTTGTTTTAATATTTTTGTTTCTGTGATAGATGCTAGAAACTGCTGATCTCAATATTGAAATAAATATTTAAAATGTTTGCAGTGTTATGTTATTTCTATCGATATTTTATCATTCTCAGATTTATGAAAATTAAA